GGCGCCTTATGAACTATGGTTTGGCAAGAAACTAAAGTTGTCGTTTCTGAAAGTTTGGGGCTGCGATGCTTATGTGAAAAAGCTTCAACCTGATAAGCTCGAACCCAAATCGGAGAAATGTGTCTTCATAGGATATCCAAAGGAGACTATTGGATACACCTTCTATCACAGATCCGAAGGCAAGACTTTTGTTGCTAAGTTCGGAAACTTTCTGGAGAAGGAGTTTCTCTCGAAAGAAGTGAGTGGGAGGAAAGTAGAAATTGACGAGGTAACTGTACCTGTTCCCTTACTGGAAAGTAGTGCATCACAGAAAACTGTTTCTGTGACACCTACACCAGTTAGTGAGGAAGCTAATGATGATGATCATGAAACTTCAGAACAAGATACTACTGAACCTCGCAGATCAACCAGAGTGAGATCCGCACCAGAGTGGTATGGTAATCCTGTTCTGGAAGTCATGCTACTAGATCATGATGAACCTACGAACTATGAAGAAGCGATGGTGAGCCCAGATTCCGCAAAATGGCTTGAAGCCATGAAATCTGAGATGGGATCCATGTATGAGAACAAAGTATGGACTTTGGTTGACTTGCCCGATGATCGGCAAGCAATTAAGAATAAATGGATCTTCAAGAAGAATACTGACGCTGACGGTAATATTACTGTCTACAAAGCTCGACTTGTCGCAAAAGTTTTTTGGCAAGTTCAAGGGATTGACTACGATGAGACATTCTCACCCGTAGCGATGCTTAAGTCTGTCCGAATCATGTTAGCAATTGCCGCATTTTATGATTATGAAATTTGGCAGATGGATGTCAAAACTGCATTCCTGAGTGGATTTCTGGAAGAAGAGTTGTATATGATGCAACCAGAAGGTTTTGTCGATCCAAAGGGAGCTAACAAAGTGTGCAAGCTCCAGCGATCCATTTATGGACTGGTGCAAGCCTCTCGGAGTTGGAATAAACGCTTTGATAGTGTGACCAAAGCATTTGGTTTTATACAGACTTTTGGAGAAGCCTGTATTTACAAGAAAGTGAGTGGGAGCTCTGTAGCATTTCTGATATTATATGTGGATGACATATTACTAATTGGAAATGATATAGAATTTCTGGATAGCATAAAGGGATACTTGAATAAGAGTTTTTCAATGAAAGACCTCGGTGAAGCTGCTTACATATTAGGCATTAAGATCTATAGAGATAGATCAAGACGCTTAATTGGACTTTCACAAAGCACATACCTTGACAAAGTTTTTGAAGAAGTTCAAAATGGATCAAGCAAAGAAAGGGTTCTTGCCTGTGTTACAAGGTGTGAAGTTGAGTAAGACTCAATGCCCGACCACTGCAGAAGATAGAGAGAAAATGAAAGATGTTCCCTATGCTTCAGCCATAGGTTCTATCGTGTATGCAATGCTGTGTACCAGACCTGATGTCTGCCTTGCTATAAGTCTAGCAGGGAGGTACCAAAGTGATCTAGGAGTGGATCACTAGACAGCGGTCAAGAACATCCTAAAATATCTGAAAAGGACTAAGGATATGTTTCTCATATATGGAGGTGACAAAGAGCTCATCGTAAAAGGTTACGTTGATGCAAGCTTTGACACTGATCCGGACGATTCTAAATCGCAAACCGGATACGTGTTTACATTAAACGGTGGAGCTGTCAGTTGTGCAGTTCTAAACAAAGCGTTGTGGCGGGATCTACATGTGAAGCGGAGTACATAGCTGCTTCGGAAGCAACAAATGAAGGAGTCTGGATGAAGGAGTTCATATCCGATCTAGGTGTCATACCTAGTGCATCGGGTCCAATGAAAATCTTTTGTGACAATACTGGTGCAATTGCCTTGGCAAAGGAATCCAGATTTCACAAGAGAACCAAGCACATCAAGAGACGCTTCAATTCCATCCGGGATCTAGTCCAGGTGGGAGACATAGAGATTTGCAAGATACATACGGATCTGAATGTTGTAGACCCGTTGACTAAGCCTCTTCCACGAGCAAAACATGATCAGAACCAAGGCTCCATGGGTGTTAGAATCATTACTGTGTAATCTGGATTATTGACTCTAGTGCAAGTGGGAGACTGAAGGAAATATGCCCTAGAGGCAATAATAAAGTTATTATTTATTTCCTTATATCATGATAAATGTTTATTATTCATGCTAGAATTGTATTAACCGGAAACATAATACATCTGTGAATACATAGACAAACAGAGTGTCACTAGTATGCCTCTACTTGACTAGCTCGTTAATCAAAGATGGTTATGTTTCCTAACCATGAACAAAGAGTTGTTATTTGATTAACGGGATCACATAATTAGGTGAATGATCTGATTGACATGACCCATTCCATTAGCTTAGCACCCGATCGTTTAGTATGTTGATATTGCTTTCTTCATGACTTATACATGTTCCTATGACTATGAGATTATGCAACTCCCGTTTGCCGGAGGAACACTTTGTGTGCTACCAAACGTCACAACGTAAATGGGTGATTATAAAGGTACTCTATAGGTGTCTCCAAAGGTACATGTTGGGTTGGCGTATTTCGAGATTAGGATTTGTCACTCCGATTGTCAGAGAGGTATCTCTGGGCCCTCTCGGTAATGCACATCACATAAGCCTTGCAAGCATTGCAACTAATGAGTTAGTTGCGAGATGATGTATTATGGAACGAGTAAAGAGACTTGCCGGTAACGAGATTGAACTAGGTATTGAGATACCGACGATCGAATCTCGGGCAAGTAACATACCGATGACAAAGGGAACAACGTATGTTGTTATGCGGTCTGACCGATAAAGATCTTCGTAGAATATGTAGGAGCCAATATGAGCATCCAGGTTCCGCTATTGGTTATTGACCGGAGACGTGTCTCAGTCATGTCTACATTGTTCTCAAACCCGTAGGGTCCGCATGCTTAAGGTTTCGATGACAGTTATATTATGAGTTTATGAGTTTTGACGTACCGAAGTTAGTTCGGAGTCCCGGATGTGATCACGGACATGACGAGGAGTCTCGAAATGGTCGAGACATAAAGATTGATATATTGGATGGCTATATTCGGACACCGGAAGTGTTCCGGGTAATTTCGGAGAAAACCAAAGAGCCGGAGGGTTACCGGAACCCCCCAGGAGAAGTAATGGGCCATATGGGCCTTAGTGGAGAGAGAGAGGGGCAGCCAATGGTGAGCGCGCGCCTCCTCCCCCTTGGTCCGAATTGGACTAGGAGAGGGGGGCGGCGCCCCCCTTTCCTTCTCCCTCCCCACTTCTTTCCCCCTCCTAGTAGGAGTCCTACTCCTACTAGGAGGACTCCTCCTTGGCGCGCCATAGGGGCCGGCCGGACTCCTCCCCTTGATCCTTTATATACGGGGGCAGGGGGCACCCCTAGACACACAAGTTGATCCACGTGATCATATTCTTAGCCGTGTGCGGTGCCCCCTTCCACCATAATGCTCGATAATATTGTAGCGGTGCTTAGGCGAAGCCCTGCGACGATTGTACATCAAGATCGTCACCACGCCGTCGTGCTGACGGAACTCTTCCCCGACACTTTGCTGGATCGGAGTCCGGGGATCGTGATCGAGTTGAACGTGTGCTAAAACTCGGAGGTGCCGTAGTTTCGGTGCTTGATCGGTCGGGCCGTGAAGACGTACGACTACATCAACCGCGTTGTGCTAACGCTTCCGCTGTCGGTCTACAAGGGTACGTAGATCACACTCTCCCCTCTCGTTGCTATGCATCACCATGATCTTGCGTGTGCGTAGGAATTTTTTTGAAATTACTACGTTGCCCAACACAATGAACTCACTCTTTATTTATATTGGTGTTAAACCTACTGTATTCCAACTTCTCTATGGTTCATACCCCCCGATACTAGTCATAGATACATCAAAATAAGCAAACAACACACGAAAAATAGAATCTGTCAAAAACAAAACAGTCTGTAGTAATCTGTAGGTTTCGAATACTTTTGTAACTCCAAAAATTCTGAAATAAATTGGTGGATGTGAGGAATTTGTCTATTAATCATCTGCAAAAAGAATCAACATAATCGCACACTCTCCGGTAAAAAAAGGCAGCAAATCTCGTGAGCGCTAAAGTTTCTGTTTTTTTACAGTAAGATCGCAAAGACTTTCCCCAAGTCTTCCCAAAGGTTCTATTTGGCACAAACACTGATTAAAAGCATAAAACCACATCTAAACAGAGACTAGATGAATTATTTATTACTAGACAGAATCAAAAAGCAAGAAACAAAAATAAAATTGGGTTGTCTCCCAACAAGCGCTATCGTTTAACGTCCCTAGCTAGGCATAAAAACAAGAATAGATATAGGTATTGTCATCTTTGATAGGCAATTCTTCAATAAAACATTTATAAATCTTAGGAGTTTCCTTTTTTTATTAATGATTAAACTCCTAGGCAAGAAGTCAAGAAATTCATTCGTAGCATAAGGTTCTTTAATGATAGCGAAAAAGTTGTTGTGAACACTTATTAATTTGAGATCCGCATTTTCCTTAGAAGATTCATCCTTTTTAATTTTAGGCACATACATAAGCTTTGCAACTCTAGTGGTAGGAGGATTTGGAGTATTTTTTACGGAAGAAAAGGCAGACCCTAAGTTGCTAATAATATCCTCAAGTTTATCAATTATTATGAAATCTTGATCTATCTTTTCGTTAACTATGGGTTATTTTAAAAAAAAAAATTCAAAGTAACTCCTACTTTAACAGGTGGCCATCGTAAATAAGGAAATTAATTCATTAGTACGATTACACTTTTTTGGAGAGGGATTAATGGAATGAAAAGAAGCCAGATTTAGTATAATCAATTCCATCAATTCACGCTACTTTTTTGAGAGAATCAATTCACGCTACTTTGTATCTTTCCTTTTATTGATTTGCCGGAAATTGTTGCTTCCATCTAAAAGGCACCCGTCATCACAGGATCGTCCGATGCATCACACCCCTCCCGGCTAGTAATCGAAGCCAGTTAAACAACGATGCAGCCCCTCGCCGGGATACTCGCCGCGGTCCTCACCTCCGCCGCTGCCATGGCAGCTGGCGCCTCGCCTGTTGCCATCAACGGGACATGCTCCTTGGTTACTGCCGACGCCTACCCCGGCTACGACTACTGCATGATCGTACTCTCCTCCGAGCCGTCCGCCGCCAGTGACGCGCGTGGTCTCGCCGTCCTTGCCGCCAACGCCACCGCGCACAACATCACGCACACGATCGGGCTCATCGACAACCTGCTCGACAGCCTCACCGAATGCTCGGAGTTGTACGGGCGCCAGATGGCCGACAAGGTGGCCAGCGCCCTCGGATACCTCATGGCCGGACGCGATCCATCTGAGGCTGTGAGCAAGTTGATTGACGCCTACGGTCTGGGCCCTCTCAACTGCTTCATCCTCCTCTCCGAGAGGTGGGGCTTCTCTAGGGAACCTCTAGCGCAGGAGAACTCGGCCAACATGGCCTTGGCCCTTTTCGCCAGGGAAATTGCGATGCTGATCCCCAAGTCCTCTAGATCATCAAACGGCAGTGATCAGCATCTCGCCGGAGCCCGAGCCTGGCAGCCCGCTGCCATCATCAACGCGACATGCTCCACTTTATTATACGACAAATACCCTGGCTACGACTACTGCTTCAGTGTCCTCTCCTCCGACCCGGTGGCGGCCGCCTCTGCCAGGGACACGCGCGATCTCGCCATTGTCGCCACCAACGCCACCGCACGCAACATCACGTCCACGGTCAAGCTCATCCAAGGCCTACTCTCCGACCTTGCTGAGTGCAAGCTTTCCTACGGTGACCGTATGGGCAAGACAATGGACAGCGCTCTCAGCGACCTCATCGCCGGACGCAGCCCCGTCGGAGCGGCCATCAAGCTGGCCGATGCCTCGCGTGATGCTATTGAATGCGACGTGGTGATGTCTAGGAGGAGGGGCGCTACTAAGAATGTCCTGTACCAGCAGAACACGGAGAATTTCGTCTCCGCACACTTTGCCAGCAACGTGGCCATGTACTCTGGCCATTGATCGGTCAACCTGCATGCTTTCAATTATATCTAATAATAATACCTAAATGATTCCTAGTGCGCGTGCACTATGTCACGGAATCGAGCGCTCACGCTAAAAGATAAAGCAAGGACACCGGCCGGTGGGGATGAGTATACGTGTGGGAGCTATTCTCTCCGTTCCATAATGTAAGACATTTTTTAATACTCCACTAGTGTTCAAAAAACGTCTTACATTATGAGACGGAGGGGGTAAAAAGACAAAGAATTAGAGTTGCATGCAATCTGAGTCCGTATATGAGGAAGGACACGGAGCACAGCATGAATTACATTTAGTTGGATTTTTGAAATTTCAAAAAGCCATAACTCCACAATCAAATGTCAGAATTTAGATCTATTTTCATTACTGGAATTCTGGCGATGAGCTCTTCAAAATTAGATCTTATTTATATATGTTTCGACAAAAAAAATTACTGCCAACTCTGATGCTATATGGTGCAAATGTGTTACTACATTGTGCAACTTCAGTACTTTACTGTGCAATTCTTTTCGAAACCAATTATTTTAGACCTACATAATCCAACCTACTATGAGGATTAGCCATGACAAAAGCAACTTTATGTGATGTGCAACTAGGTCAACTACCTAGTAATCGATGTGCACCCTCTCACTACTTGTGGTTTTCACTCGCACACCCTGCCCCACCGAAGATATGTGAAACCTAGTCTGTTGTTCCAACCAACTGCCTAGTAGTTAATGTGCAACTCTTCATCCCTACTTATGGATGTGTAGTTTCAGTTGGCAAGGGCAACAGACCAGGTTGCACAAGGTCTGTTAGATAGTTGACTAAGGCAACAGACCCAGTTGCACATCTCACTCGCAAGATTTGTTGGTGAAAAATTACATATCCATGAGGGTAGAGAAAAGTTGTCCATAGACCCTCCTAAAGTTGCACATCTCACTAGTAGGGATGGTTAGGATGGGTTGCTAGCACTAAAAACTACATATCCATGGGGTACGCGACAAAGTTGCACACCGACAGTTAAGCAGTTGGCCGGTGCAGCATCTAAGGTTGCACATCCAGTGCTAAGTAGTTGGCAAAGAAAGGAAACAGTGAAAACTGACATCTACGAACATGGGAAAAGTTGCACAGCGACTACTATGTAGTTGGCACAAGCAATAGACAAAGTTGCACATCTCACTGGTAGGGGTAGTTTGGGTTAGAGGTGCCATAAGTGAAAACTGCGCGTTCACCCGCAGGGACAAAGTTGCACATTGACTAACAGGTAGTTGCACACCGGCAGCTAGGAAGTTGCACCAAACAGAGGCTTAATTGCACACAAAAAAGTTCATCGAAATGCACCCATGATGGATCTAGTTTTGAAGAGCACGTTGCGAGGATTCCAGTAGTGAAAACGGATCTTAATTCCGATGCGCGGTTCGAAAGATATAGCTTTTTTAAAATCTGAAACTCGCATTAAATATGTTCACACATGTTCACGTGGATACTTTTTTTCTTTTTATACGGTACCTTTCCTAATATATGATTAGGGAGCAAATTATTTCTCTTTATAGCCTATAGGGGACTAAAAATTTCTATTTTTGGCCGGCTGCTCGGGACGGCTAGGGAGCAGCCGGCCGCTCCCTAGACACGTCCATAATAATAATAAAGCTAGCTAGATCATATAAGCACAAGCATTCGCGTGATTGTTAGATTGTACTCCCTCGGTTCCTAAATATTTGTATTTTTAGAGATTTTAAATGGACTACCATATATGGATGTATATAGACATATTTTAGAGTGTAGATTCACTCATTTTGTTTTGTATGTAATCACTTGTTAAAATCTCTAAAAAGACAAATATTTGGGAACGAAGGGAGTATTTGCAAAACAAGATGGTAGGTATCCCCTCAAAAAAACAAGATGGTTGGTTTTTCATTTATTTTACGCGAGAGAAGATGGTTGATTATATTTAGTGTACTATATACTACCACGGAAAAGCTTATTGGTAGAGGCGTAGCAGTAGCGCGTGTCAGAGATGCTCGCTACAGCTAAATACCAGTAGCGAGGGCCAGCAAACAATGCTACGGTTACATATTTAACAGTAGTGTGTGCCAGCGAAAAGGCGTTGCTAGTAAGTGGTCCCTGCAGTACCCACCAGTATCGGTGGCCCACCGCTACAACTATTCTTGCGCTGTGCCACATGGAGGGCCTCACTTAGCAGCAGTGAGTCTCTTTGTGCCTCGCTACTACTACAACACTTACCAGTAGCGCCCATCTTGGACCTGCGCTGCTGCTAAGGTACAATAGCCACCTTCTTCCCTTATCCCCCTCTCCCCCTCCCCACTCTCCCTTCCTCTCTCCATCACTTTCTCACTCACTTTCTTCTCCTCCATTACTACTACCTAGATTTCTTCTCTCTTCCTTCTCCTACCTCGCTTCTCTCTACTTTAATGGCCCCCAGGGCCGGTCCTGAGATTTTGGGGATCTGGGGTGAAAATGAAACATGGGGCCCCTTGAATTTTTCTTCTAGCAACCACTGATCCAAAGTCATTTATGACAGTCTTGGATCCATATTCATGTTGCTTGTGCACAGGTGAACGTTACGACAACAAGGTTATGGTGGTCACAGTCGCAAGGAGACAAGAGGATGATTTTACGAAAGCATCAAGTGTCATCTTTGGTGGCATCCGGGACCCTCGGACAACGCTAGGAGGCACTTTCGACGGCGATGGATTTTCTCATTCAAAAGGCGAGAGTCGTTAGCACGGATCTAGGTCATTAGTACACTCCACGATGGTTCATTGTGATTTTGTGCCAACCGAAGAGAGTATTAAGCCAGACATTTGAATATATTGCCTTTGTATACAAGAGAGGATTTCCAAATAAAGAGGCGCACATGGTTGTGCTCTCTTCACTGGGAGATGAGGTTGATCGCCGTATGTGCACTCTTCACTAGGAGATGAGGTTGATCGCCGTGTGTGGCTAACAAGACCTAATGTCCATTGTATCCCAAAATCTCTTTAATTGAACAAAGTGGATATGATTCTCAAAATACTAAAATTATGATAGTCTCATCCGATAGAACTAAAGATTATATAATATAAAAGCAAAACATTAATATGGCGTCAATTTTAAGTAACTACTAGATCTTACGATTTTTTTAAGATCCAGACTTAATCTGGTTGTGGATCTTTTTATCCAAATGCTCAATCGACTCAACAGTGGCAACTTTATTTTCAATAATTTCAAGCCTTTGCATCACATATTTCAAAGTTAAAATAGTTCCATTAACCAAGAGGGGTGGTTGCCCAAACAAATCTATCATATCATTATAAGAATAAAAAATATGGCTACCCAAGAAATTCCCTCCGGTAATGGCATCAAGAATATATCTATTCCAATGGGTGATGCCTACATAAAAATTGCGAAGAAAAACGGAAGTGGATTGCTTCCTAGTGGATCTATTCTGAGCATTGCAAATTCTATACCAAGCATCCTTTAAATTTTCTCCCTCCCTTTGTTTAAATTGAGAACTTCATGATCAGGAGTACTAACAATGATACAAGGATAGGGATGGAAAAAAAGCTCAAAACTCGTGAGCTCAACGAGTAGCTCGTGACTCGGCTCGAATCGACTCGAACTCGAAGAATAACGAGTCGAGCCGAGCTTTAGTTTAAGATCGTTTGTAGACCAAGTTAAACGAGCCAATCTCACGAGTACTCGTGTAACTCGTTAGGCTCGATACAAAATATCAGCCACTCCCAATATAAAAAAGATCAGCCGCTCAACACCCTATGTCCAAGGCGCACAACACAAGGCCTAGCCCTTAAAGGCCCAACCGCCTAGGAGACTCATGTGTTACAAGGAAATTAATATTGTTTAGTGATATATATGTTTAATACATACATGATAATGCTTAAAATATTTGAGGGTTTTATGTTCATATCTTTAACGAGCTTAACAAGCTAAACGAGACAGCTCGCGAGTTATACGAGTCGAGCCAATCTTTGATTTAAGCTCGTTAATAATAACGAGTCGAGTTGAGCTAGCTCGTTAACGAAACGAGCTCTAGCGAGTCGAGCCGAGCTGGCTCGACTCAGCTCGAATTCCAGCCCTATACAAGGACTAGCCATAATAGCAAACCACACGGACACATGAGAAGCAAGCAACAAGAGACGGACAGAAAAGAGGGCGAATAAAACGGCAAAGGTGAAGTGGCGAGAGGAAAACGAGAGGCAAATGACAAATAATGTAATGGGAGGGATAAGAGTTTGTGATGGGTACATGGTATCGGTGCCAGAAATCCGCACGTTGGTGGGAGATCAAAGCTTGACTTGACTTGGTGTAAACCTCCCCGGCAACGGTGCCAGAAATCCTACTTGCTACCTCTTGAGCTTGCGTTGGTTTTCCCTTGAAGAGGAAAGGGTGATGCAGTACAGTAGCATAAGTATTTCCCTCAGTTTTTAGAAGCAAGGTATCAATCCAGTAGGAGACTACACGCAAGTCCCTCGTACCTACACAAACAAACAAGAACCTCGCAACCAACGCGATAAAGGGGTTGTCAATCCCTTCACGGTCACTTACGAGAGTGAGATCTGATAGAGATAATAAGATAAATATTTTTGGCATTTTTGTTGTATAGATTGGAAAATAAAGATTGAAAAATAAATGGTAATAGAAGTAGCAAGTTGATATGAAAATGGTATGATGGAGAATAGACCCCGGAGCCATAGGTTTCACTAGTGGCTCTCCCAAGATAGCAAATTCTACGGTGGGTGAACAAATTACTGTCGAGCAATTTATAGAAAAGCGCATAGTTATGAGAATATCTAGGCATGATCACATACATAGGCATCACGTCCACGAGAAGTAGACCGAAACGATTCTGCATCTATTACTATTACTCCACACATCGACCGCTATCCAGCATGCATCTAGAGTATTAAATTCATAAGAGCAGAGTAATGCATTAGGCAAGATGACATGATGTAGATGGATAAACTCAAGCAATATGATAT